AAAAATTAAACAAAAAAAAAAAATCCCATTATCTATACCGCCATTTGTAAACACTAGAACTTTCACGTAAACCAATAAATTTTACATGTATTGGGTTTTTTTTTTTTTTTTTTTTTTTTTTTAACCGACACGGAGCAGAATACATTTTGGCCTAAATTTATGACAATTTTATTTTTGTGTTTTGTTTTTTTTTTCAGGACATGTTTAATAGCAAAAAGTCAAATGTATTTTTTTTTTTTTTTCCTCAAAATTTGTCTTTTAGTGCTACAAAAAAAAAACAAAAAACTGCAGGGGTGATCAAATACCACCAAAAGAGAGCTCAATTAGTGGGAGGGAAAAAAAGGACATAAATTCCATTTTGGTTGCATGACTGCGCAATTGTCAGTTTAAGTAATGCAGTGCCGTAACGCAAAAATGGCCTGGTCAGGAAGGGGGGGGGGAAATCCCCTGGAGGGGGAGGGGTTAACCAATGTGCTACCGCTACAACATTTGACCTGGTTACAAAAGGCTAAGGGTGAAGGAGTTGTGATTTGGAGATGTTACATTGGACGTGTCCTATGACTCCCCTTGTCATGTGCAGCTCCTTTATTCATTATACAATGTATGTCCAGGGGGGGGGGGTGGGGGTGGGGGGGGGGGGGGGGGGGGGGGGGGGGTATAATGTGTACCTGATATGATCTGGAAGTCTCTGGAGAACAGCCCATTCTTCCTCACAGCTCCTGGCTCCTCTGCAGCTGCCACTGAGATCAGCTGTGTGGGTGATCTGGAGGGACCGCGGTGGCCTTCACCCCTGGCCATATGCTTGGGACTTGTGGTTGGCTGCTGGGATTGGCCACCATCACACGGGAACAGGTCACATGTTCCTCCATACCTGGTATTCTCACTGGTTGCAGGTGATCATGAAGCTTTGCAGGAGCGATGGTAAGGGGAGTATAGGGGGAAACACTGTCACCAGTATGGGGGAAAAATGATGGCGTCACTTTAAAACTTCCATTGTACTGTAGCACTGCCGGCATCCACAAGCCGATGTACTCATGGTGGAGATCCACACCGAAGAAGAATCTGAGAGGAAGAGAACACAGATAGGAAACCGAATTAAACCGTTCAGAATGACCTCCATGCAAGATGGGAGGATCTGGAGGGAATCGGCTTCTGGCTGCTGGCGGTGGTACCATATGGTGGAAGGTTGCAGTAGATCAAACATAAAGAGTGTTAGTTTTCTTTGAGGGTTTCCTATACCATCATCTGACATGTCCTCCTTCTTCCTTCTTCTTTTTTTTTTTCTTTCATATGCTCAGAAATGTTCCAGAAATGTGATCCCAGAAACTACGACACTAAATGGTAAACCATACGGATCCGTGCCCACCATTCCGGGACATGAGTCCGTGCCGCTGAGAGATGAGCCTGTGACTGTCATAGTACAGAATGGATCTGTGCCCACCATTCCGGAACATGGGTCCGTTCCACTGTCACCAAGAGATGAGCCTGTGACTATCCTAGTACAGAATGGATGTGCCCACCATTCCGGAACATGAGTCTGTGCCGCTGTCACTGAGAGATGAACCTGTGAATATCATAGTACAGAATGGATGTGTGCCCACCATTCCGGAACATGGGTCCGTTCCCGCTGTCACTGAGAGATGAGCCTGTGACTGTCATAGTACAGAATGGATCTGTGCCCGCTACAGCCCCGGGGCAATGGAGAACCTGTGACTATCATAGGACATAATGGGTCTGTGCCCGCTGTCACTCCTGGCCAATGGATCTGTGCCCTTCATGGTACACGATGGGTCTGGGCCCTTCATGGTACACGATGGGTCTGGGCCCTTCATGGTACACGATGGGTCTGGGCCCTTCATGGTACACGATGGGTCTGGGCCCGCTGTCACTCGGGATAACAAGCCTGTGACTATCACTGCACATAATAGACCTGTGCCAGGTGTTGGCCTCAGAATGGATCCGATGCCACCATTGCCCAGACTGGAGATCCTGTCACTCACAAGTCTCTGCATGAGGCAGACTTACCTGTAGCCAACATGCCATCGTATCCAGGCACTGGAAGAGATTGGAGAAATGTATGTTGTATTGTGTACAATGGGAAGCCGTATACCCGGTATTAGCGATGGTCAGCTTGAAAACTAAAACTCAGCTGTGGCCCCGACCCTTCCAGAAGCTTCACCATTGCAGCACATCTTCAAGCCTTGAGGTGGATTGCATCAAGTTGGCAGAACACACCTCGATGCCCATACATTGGTGTTGGTGGCAGCAATAACCCCTCAAAGCATTGATGTCATGGATACAATATAGTTTATTAGGGAAATGTGTGGCTCTTAAACTATTTTTTTTTTTTTTTTTTTTCTTATCTTTGCAAAAAAAAAGACATGGAAAGCATTTGAAGGAGACCAGAGCTCTGCCAGGTAGGCTGGATCCTAAAACTCCCTTTATTGCTAAATTCTACCTGTTTACCTGGCAGAAAAAAAAGGATCCTTAAAAAAAAAAAAATGCTTTTTTTTTTTTCCTGACTATAAAATAGAAAATGTACATGTAACCGTTTTTACTTAATAATAAATGTATATAATTCCGTTTTTTGAGGTTTTGTGGTTCTTTTATCGGTACAGATTGTGGGAACAGAGCAATTTACTAAACTCCTATTCCTACTACCTATCCTGGAGGGGGGGAGGGGAGGAGGGGAGGGGGGGGGGGGGGTCTGTGCTCCCAATTTACACTTGGAGGTCCTTCCTAAAAGCAGATGATGGCGATTACCTGTTAGAGAAGCATCTTCTGTGCTCCTCTCTGGTTGTAGTTTCACATCGGTGGAGCCGGACTAGCCGGAATTTGATGGCATTAGCTCCACCCACTGCCATCCCGGTGAGATCTCTGACCAGCCGATTGGAAAATATCATTGGACAGCTGAGTGACAGTTGGTGGAGCTTAACCATCGAATCAGGGAAAGTCAGATCCCGGTAACAAAGTGAAACTGAATCAGAGTGGAGCTCAGAGGATACTTTTTGTGGTAATAACAGGCAGGACAAGTGTTACTAAACCCCGGACCCCGCATTCACTGTATCCGCTCTATCCGCTCTCCCCGGGCCCCGCGCTCGCTCTATCCGCTCTCCCCGGGCCCCGCGCTCGCTCTATCCGCTCTCCCCGGGCCCCGCGCTCGCTCTATCCGCTCTCCCCGGGCCCCCCGCGCTCGCTCTATCCGCTCTCCCCGGGCCCCGCGCTCGCTCTATCCGCTCTCCCCGGGCCCCGCGCTCGCTCTATCCGCTCTCCCCGGGCCCCGCGCTCGCTCTATCCGCTCTCCCCGGGCCCCGCGCTCGCTCTATCCGCTCTCCCCGGGCCCCGCGCTCGCTCTATCCGCTCTCCCCGGCCCCGCGCTCGCTCTATCCGCTCTCCCCGGGCCCCGCGCTCGCTCTATCCGCTCTCCCCGGGCCCCGCGCTCGCTCTATCCGCTCTCCCCGGGCCCCGCGCTCGCTCTATCCGCTCTCCCCGGGCCCCGCGCTCGCTCTATCCGCTCTCCCCCGGGTACACACAACATGGAAATACAGTTATTTTAGTAAATATAAACTGCTCAATACCTTTTCTCTTCAGCAGTATAGAGCAGTCTTGTGACTTCTATCGGTGTCCAGCAGAGCCCTGGTTAAAGCTTGTAGGAGGAGTTTTCTGCTCCGGGAGGATGCAGGACTCCTGACCTCTGGACAGTGCTGATTGGCCCTGTGCTGATCTCATGCACTCTCCCAAGAAAAATAAAAAACCTCTCTAGCAATACACACCATATTGAGCATGTGCAGAGTGACTCCACACAATGTCTTATCAGGAGATAAGAAGGGGACACTGATCCGGACGTCTCTGATCCTCCCCTTCTTCCAAACAGTTTTTTTTTTTTTAAACAATGCAGAGGATTAATCCCTTAGGTCCCACAGTGAGTATAACAAGCACGCTTTACTGCATCTACAGACTGATTGCAGTTTCTGGATTTGAGAGTTACACTTTTAAAGTGTTACTAAACCCCCCACAGTACAAACACCCCCAACTGTGCTTTGTGTTTAAATGGAATATAGAAGTAAGATATCAGAAACTGAAGGCCACAAAAATGTGAAAAGAAAGGAGGGGATTTTATACAGATTGCAACATTTGTTATCAATTTGAATACATCATAAAAGATACAATTGTATATACAGTGAAGGAAATGTGTATTTGCTCCCCTGCTGATGGTGAATGTTCGCCCCTCACACAGAAATGATCGGTCTAACAATGGAATGTTCGCCCCTCACACAGAAATGATCGGTCTAACAATGGAATGTTCGGTGTAACACTGAGACAGAATACAACAACAAATTCAGCAGAAATGCGTCTAACAAATGATGACTGATCTGCATGTTCATGAGGGAAGGAAGGATTTGATCCCCTATCATTCAGCAGGATTTCTGGCTACCAGGTGTCTTTCATACAGGTAACAAGCTGAGATTAGAAGCAGTCTCTTAAAGGGAGTGCTGCTAATCGCATTGTGTTACCTGTATAAAAGACACCTGTCCACAGGAGCAATCAAACCATCAGATTCCAAACTCTCCACCATGGCAAAGACCAAAGAGCTGTCCAAGGATGTCAGGGACAAGATGGTAGACCTACACAAGGCTGGACTGGGCTACCAAACTATGGCCAAGCAGCTTGGTGAGAAGGTGACAACAGTTGGTGCAATCATTCACAAATGGAAGAAACACAAAACAAGTGTCAGTCTCCCTAGGTCTGGTGCACCATGCAAGATCTCACCTCGTGGAGTGTCAATGATCATGAGAACAGTGAGGAATCATCCCAGAACTACACGTGAGGATCTTGTCAATGATCTCCAGGCAGCTGGGACCACAGTCACCAAGAAAACAATTGGTAACACACTACGCCGACAAGGACTGAAATCCTGCAGTGCCCACAAGGTCCCTCTGCTCAAGAAAGCACATGTCCAGGCCCGTCTGAAGTCTGCCACTGAACATCTGAATGATGCAGAGGAGGACTGGTGGGAAGTGTGGTGGTCAGAGGAGACCAAAATCCAGCTCTTTGGCATCAACTCAACTCGCCGTGTTTGGAGGAGGAGGAATGCTGCCTATGACCCCAAGAACACCATCCCAACTGTGAAACATGGTGGTGGAAACATTCTGCTTTGGGGGTGTTTTTCTGCTAAGGGGACAGGACAACTGCACCGCATCAAAGGGACGATGGACGGGGCAATGTACCGTCAAATCTTGGATGAGAACCTTCTTCCCTCAGCCAGGGCATTGAAAATGGGTGGTGGATGGGTGTTCCAGCATGACAATGACCCAAAACACACGGCCAAGGCAACAAAGGAGCGGCTCAAGAAGAAGCACATTAAGGTCCTGGAGTGGCCTAGCCGGTCTCCAGACCTTCATCCGATGGAAAATCTGTGGAGGAGCTGAAAGTTCGAGTTGCCAAACATCAGCCACTGAACCTTAATGACTTGGAGAGGATCTGCCAAGAGGAGTGGGCCAAAATCCCTCCTGAGATGTGTGCGAACCTGGGGGCCAACTCCAGGAAATGTCTGACCTTTGTGATTGCCAACAAGGGATTTGCCACCAACTACTAAGTCATGTTTTGTGAAGGGGATCAAATTCTTCTTTCCCTCATGAACATGCAGATCAGTCATCATTTGTTAGATGCATTTCTGCTGAATTTGTTGTATTCTGTCTCTCAGTGTTACACCGAACATTCCATTGTTAGACCGATCATTTCTGTGTGAGGGGCGAACATTCCATTGTTAGACCGATCATTTCTGTGTGAGGGGCGAACATTCCATTGTTAGACCGATCATTTCTGTGTGAGGGGCGAACATTCAACATCAGCCGGGGAGCGAATACACATTTCCTTCACTGTATCTCCATCACATCAGAACACACACATTTTATTTATATACGTTTCATCAGAACCCCCTTCACATCAGGTCCTCTCAACATGCAGAGCCCCCCATAACATGAGACACCCTTATCACATTAGAGCCCTCCCTTCATGCCAGAGTCTACTCCCATACATGAGAGCCTTCGTCACATCAGGGTCACCCCTATACATCATATACTGCTTATGTATGAGTCTCCTCGTCACCAAGGAGTCCCCCCCCCCCCCCCCCTCACAGAGTCTCCTCTTCAAATCAGAGCCCTACCTTTTGACTCCAGCAGAGGGCAGGAGCTGGTCTTTCCCTGAATGTTGGGGTTGGCCCTGCACATCGATTTGGGTCCGGATCATAGCCATGAGTTGTCCTGGAGTGGGCTAGATGGCAGCCATCACAATAGCAATGAGTGACACTTGACCCTAGAGTGCCATGGGTGGGTATGGTGCTCACAGCCCACTCAATTCATGGCAACTACTTGATGCAGATCCAGGGGAACCCAAAAAGCCCCCCTGGTTTGGAGACTCCGGGTTTACAGCATACTAACCCCCAAATCTAGCTTAGGAAGTCCAAACTACTTCCTTGTAAATCCCCCTTTCTTGTAGGTCTGGCCACTCCCCAAACCATTGGCCACGCCTTCCTGTTTTCAGGTGTCACCTCTACCAGGCCAGCTGTGTAAAGGAGACACCCAGCTAGGGCTGTGTGCATCTGATGGTGCCTGACCAGCCACTCCCCCGATC